CGCCCACATGTCAGTGGTATGCTGTAAACAACCTCTTTTTCGCACGAGGCGAATTGTGTCTTGTGCCTGGTGTTACATTGACTGATCCGGTTGGTCGATGACTGGTTGATCTTCCGGCACATTGAATACGCTTTGTTGGGTGCCGAGCACACAACTTGCACGTCTTGTCGCCTGGCGATCTTTTTTAACTTGTGGGTAACCCCATGTATATATGGGACCACCACAAAAGGTTTCCGTGCATGTTTCTTTTTTGCTGTGGCGTCGTCTTTCTTCTTGATGGTGCGAATGATTTTTTCGCAAATGGAGGCCAATAAAGACTCTGGGAAACCGGCGTCCTGAAGTTTTGAAACTTGTGTATTGAAGCTTTGTTGTATTTGGTGGGGGCAAGTCTTTTTGAGGCTGGCCAGAAGGGCCGTGGCGACTTTTCCTTGTTTGACGATTTTGGAATGCTGGGACTCGAAGGGAAGAAACCCTTTATTCGAGCGCGCCTGGTACCTCCAACAAACATGATCTTTTTGAAACTCCAGCACCAGGTCAAGGAACCTAATAGTTTTTTTGATGGGAAGCTCATGGGTGAAAGTGAGGCCCATGCAGCTGTTTTGGAAGTATGTCATTATGGAGTCGAGGCATCCATTTTCTTCTTCAATTGCAGTGGAGCATAAAATAAGAAAGTCATCCACATAGCGAAAAATGACTGATATTCGTGGATCATTTATGACTTTTTGGATAGTTGTTCCACAGGCAGCGAGAAAAATTTCGCATAAAAACGGAGCCACTTGCGATCCGATGCATACCCCACTCTTCTGCACATAGTGATGTTCTTGGTGGGCCACCACCGTTGCGGACAAGTAGAAGCCTAAAAGTTCCAAGAAGGTGCCCAGGCTCATCCCTGCTGCATTTTGAAACCTGGTAAGCCCTTGTTCCTCAATGGTGGTTTGAAGAACACGTAAAAGGTTATCGTGCGGAATTGAGTAGTACATATCCTGTACGTCAATCGAGAACCCAGAAACAATTAGGTTTCCTTGTTCATGAAGAAATGCGATCACGTGCTCTGAGTTAGGTATCCTGAAGGGGTCTTCTACTGGTATTTTGGAGAGTTGCTGGGCAAGAAACCTCGATACGCATGCTTGCCAAGTGTTTCTTTCGGATACAATAGCCCGAAATGGAACACCTTCTTTGTGAGTCTTGGCTGAGAAGAAGACAGAAAGTTGGTCATTTTTTGCCCCTTTGATCCTGGTGCTGAGACTAGCTTGTTGGTGTTCGTCTAGCAACTTGAGAATGGCCTTCTTTGCTACTTTTGTCCTTTTCTCTGCTACTGGCATAAAATTCTTGATCATGGCCTGATGGGCTTTTTCTCCATATCTGTCGGACTCAAGAACGACAAATCCTCCCTCCTTATCGGAAATGCATAGCTTTAAATCCCGGCTTCTTAATCCTTGAATTGTAGACCCAAAGCTCACCTTTGGCTTAGCTTGGTGCTGAAGGCTGGAAAATACTTTGATTCCTTCATCAATAATTTGAGAGCTTCTTTCCTGTGGAGCTTTTGCGGCAATTTGCCGTATTATGGCTACCTTGTCTACAGCTTCAAGCTTGGGAGCTATGGAAAACTTTGGTCCTTGTTCCAGCACCTTCCGAGCTTGTTCTGAAATGTGCACATTCCCTATAAGCTGGAGCGGTGTCTTTTGCAGAACCGTCTTGCGTTGCCGGTGTAGTTCCAGATGATGACGCCAAATGGGGCGTTACTTATCTTTCTAGTTACCTGAGCACGTCTTTTATCAATTTCAACCTCCTTGGCCCACCAGGCTTGAGGCTCATGATTGCAACGTCCATCTGCCAAGCAAGGCTGCTCACTCGCAGCATACAAAAGAAGATCATCCTGGAAGAGGTAAAGTGTTTTTTCGGGGCTCTACAACCATCACACGCGCACGCACAACGGGTGTCCAAGATTCTTCGGTCTGAAGAATGGCGCCAAGTGCGACTACTCACCGACTTTCTGCGAGTCAAATCTCCGACCCGCAACGAATTTTCCAATCATCTCATCATGACGCAAAACACAACGGAGATCCTCTGGAAGAAGAACTTTCTCCCCATTTGGCGTCATCATCTGGAACTACACCGGCAACGCAAGACGGTTCTGCAAAAGACACCGCTCCAGCTTATAGGGAATGTGCACATTTCAGAACAAGCTCGGAAGGTGCTGGAACAAGGACCAAAGTTTGCCATAGCTCCCAAGCTTGAAGCTGTAGACAAGGTAGCCATAATACGGCAAATTGCCGCAAAAGCTCCACAGGAAAGAAGCTCTCAAATTATTGATGAAGGAATCAAAGTATTTTCCAGCCTTCAGCACCAAGCTAAGCCAAAGGTGAGCTTTGGGTCTACAATTCAAGAATTAAGAAGCCGGGATTTAAAGCTATGCATTTCCGATAAGGAGGGAGGATTTGTCGTTCTTGAGTCCGGCAGATATGGAGAAAAAGCCCATCAGGCCATGATCAAGAATTTTATGCCAGTAGCAGAGAAAAGGACAAAAGTAGCAAAGAAGGCCATTCTCAAGTTGCTAGACGAACACCAACAAGCTAGTCTCAGCACCAGGATCAAAGGGGCAAAAAATGACCAACTTTCTGTCTTCTTCTCAGCCAAGACTCACAAAGAAGGTGTTCCATTTCGGGCTATTGTATCCGAAAGAAACACTTGGCAAGGATGCGTATCGAGGTTTCTTGCCCAGCAACTCTCCAAAATACCAGTAGAAGACCCCTTCAGGATACCTAACTCAGAGCACGTGATCGCATTTCTTCATGAACAAGGAAACCTAATTGTTTCTGGGTTCTCGATTGACGTACAGGATATGTACTACTCAATTCCGCACGATAACCTTTTACGTGTTCTTCAAACCACCATTGAGGAACAAGGGCTTACCACGTTTCAAAATGCAGCAGGGATGAGCCTGGGCACCTTCTTGGAACTTTTAGGCTTCTACTTGTCCGCAACGGTGGTGGCCCACCAAGAACATCACTATGTGCAGAAGAGTGGGGTATGCATCGGATCGCAAGTGGCTCCGTTTTTATGCGAAATTTTTCTCGCTGCCTGTGGAACAACTATCCAAAAAGTCATAAATGATCCACGAATATCAGTCATTTTTCGCTGTGTGGATGACTTTCTTATTTTATGCTCCACTGCAATTGAAGAAGAAAATGGATGCCTCGACTCCATAATGACATACTTCCAAAACAGCTGCATGGGCCTCACTTTCACCCATGAGCTTCCCATCAAAAAAACTATTAGGTTCCTTGACCTGGTGCTGGAGTTTCAAAAAGATCATGTTTGTTGGAGGTACCAGGCGCGCTCGAATAAAGGGTTTCTTCCCTTCGAGTCCCAGCATTCCAAAATCGTCAAACAAGGAATAGTCGCCACGGCCCTTCTGGCCAGCCTCAAAAAGACTTGCCCCCACCAAATACAACAAAGCTTCAATACACAAGTTTCAAGACTTCAGGACGCCGGTTTCCCAGAGTCTTTATTGGCCTCCATTTGCGAAAAAATCATTCGCACCATCAAGAAGAAAGACGACCCCACAGCAAAAAAGAAACATGCACGGAAACCTTTTGTGGTGGTCCCATATATACATGGGGTTACCCACAAGTTAAAAAAGATCGCCAGGCGACAAGACGTGCAAGTTGTGTGCTCGACACCCAACAAAGCGTATTCAATGTGCCGGAAGATCAACCAGTCATCGACCAACCAGATCAGTCAATGTAACACCAGGCACAAGACACAATTCGCCTCGTGCGAAAAAGAGGTTGTTTACAGCATACCACTGACATGTGGGCGCTGCTACATTGGGCAAACGGGACGCTGCATCAACGAGCGTACACGTGAGCACGCAGCCAACCAAAAGAACCTGACAGCGCCGGGGCACCTATCTGCGCATTGCCGAGCATGCAAGTGCACGGCGAAGCTCGCGCAAGTTAACATCGTAGCACGCCACAAAAGCCAGCTCGCGCGGGAGATGTTAGAAGCTGCTGCCATAGAAGAAAAAGGAGATGGGTGTGTTAGTGCACCTTCAATCACCTTGTTGCGCACCGAAAAACTATTTCTCCGAGGGGGTCAACATCTTGTAAAATAAAACGTAAAACAAAGGGGAAAAGGGGGGAACGAAGTGAATTATGCAGAAGGAGAGGAAGAGGATGAAGAGGAGGTTTATATATAAAAACAGTTGGTAGTCCAGCGATCGGGTGTCTTTCTTTCTATCTCTACCTTTTCCTTAGTTCAGCTGGTTTTTTTCATAGTGGACATTGGGCCAAGTGGCACGAGTTTGTATTTTGTAAGAGAGTTTGCGAAAAAATATTGGCGATCGAGAAGGCTGCCGTTGGTTGTTTCGTTATTCGTATGAAAGCGACGTTGCTAAATAACAGCAGCATAATTACAACGCACAGAAGTTAGCCAGAGCATGATTTTAAACAAACAAACCAGATGAGACCTAACACAACCCTGCGACTGCCGGTAAGCAGAAGTGCATGTTTGGTATTTTGCTCATCAGCAGCCTCGGGTTGTGTTATGTCTAATTTTCACCAGCTCGTTCGCACCTGGACTTCCTGTTCACTAACCGGGTAAACTAGAGTCTGGGGTCAAACAAACAAAATGTTCAGTCAATTTATATTCAGCAATCTTTTGTTTTTGCTTCGTCCTATTCGCAACTCTAGAGTAGGCGGCAAAGCTAATAATACGATTAAACCTGAAAACATCTTACACCAGGAGCAACTGAAAGGTCACGCTCCGTTGTTCCTGAGAAGATGTTCCTTTTTTTTGGGGGGGGGGGGTTTAATCGTGTTTTGAGCTTCGCCATTTCCAGGGATCCTTTTACTGTTTGTCCTGACTCCTTGTCTTGTGTTCGGCTGGAAAATAAACTCGCAGGACTTTTTTTTTAAAGAAGTGGATGGTATCCCTCTGAGGAGATGGGCGAACATCGAAGTGCCGTGGAATAAGGACAGAAAATCAGACTCACTTACCACCTCGAGGACGTCCGACATTTTGGCCAGGACCTCGTTGGAGAGCGTCTGCAGGAGCGGGACGCTGGACACATCGAGAACGAAAAAAAGGTGATCTTACAGGAGGTCATTCGAAAAGGTTACAACTGGACTCCAACTTTTAAACCCCGCGTGGTTTCCAGAAGAGGAACTTTTTTTTATTTTGTGCTTGTGTCCGTCGTCATGGAGCTGCAGAGACGCGGGAAGATTATACTAATATATTACGTAGCTAACGCTTGGATATAAATTGAACATTTTAAATACCGAAGTATTAACTGCAAGAGAGCAAATGGCCGATGAAACCATAAAGAAAAGAATTTCAGTAACAAGAAGTGTTTTATGTTTTCCCTTTCTTACAAGTGCAGTCGAGAAATGAAACAGTCTGACCGCGAACACGTTGCCCACGCGCCAGCTAATTGTCACATTTCGTGAACGACATTGTATTGTTGTAAATCTCGAAGCAGCTCAATTTAATTTGCATCACCTTCGTAGGCCAATTGTAGCCATTTATATTCTTTCGTAGAGCGGTTATTGACTCGTATTCCTCAAATGAGAACGAAAGGTCGGGAGACCCTTATAGTCCGGATAGAGGGATTTCCCTCTAGGGACAAACTGAATCACCAGAGGCGCTCTGTCGGCATTACGGGGCAACTAGAGTCACCAAAGTTAGCTATTCGGAAACGGGCGTGTTCCCACCAAAAATCCAGAAACACGCATCTCGCTATAGTATATCGTTCTTCGTCCTTCTCAGGACCAGCTAATTTCGCATTCTGAATGGATGCGTAACGATAATGATATGCCCGGGGGCCGCCATGCCCTGAATTTCTTAAGTTGGCAGTGGCTATATGAAAACTATAGCCGTAGGCAGTTTAATAATCGCAGGTTGTGACGTGTCGAGAGCACCTTATTGCCGCTTCGCGGTCCATGAGATAGGCAATACATGGTTAAGTGGACTATTTTATATATATATATATATATATATATATATATATATATATATATATATATATATATATATATATATATATATATTATATTATATTTATTTATACATAACACGTAAACATCAGTGCATTTGGGAGCACAAAAAGTCCGCGAGGGATTTTCAAATGTCTTCTTATATGAGGCAAAACATTGTGGTTTCTATTCTAACTTTCTTGCACTCATGCACGCCCCCCCCCCACCCCTTTTTTTCTTCTCACGCACACACATGCAAAAAAAAAAACAAAAAAAACAACAAAAAAAAAACAGATGACATCTGGAATATGCATTGGGCGCTTTTGCCGGGCAGGGCGCGTGGTACACGAGATCTCCCGCGAACGAGAAGTGCAAACGTGGCATTTTGTTTCTCCATCGGCTCATCTAAGGACAACCATCTCTAGGGCGGCCTTGCTGCTTGCCATTCAGCACGTGGGATTGCTATTCCCGGCTCGTTCCTGTTGTTTCTTCGAGCCGTTTCGCTGACCCGGTCACTCCTGTCTCAATATTGTTTTATGGGCCAATGTATGCGTACTTTTTCCAGCACCGATGACTCGGCTACTCTCGCCGCTAATCTAATTGGGAGCGAATGCAAGATCCTCACCGCACAATCGCTGAATGTGGACCGGGTTGGTCGACCCTTTTGTTTTTGCACGGCGGTTTGATGTTGCTACGGGAGCAATAATCGTTTCCCCCGCAAGATAACCAGAGGGCACTAGAAGACAAACAAAATCAATAGGCTGACAGGAAAGTTGGGTATGCCGTCGCAAGCGCGATCTTCTCCTTACGGTCCTGCAGAATACAATAGTTTTTGTTTTTTTTTCTCAGTGAGCTTTATTACATAATATTACGGGGAGCATCTTTGCGGTCCTGCAGGATACTACAGATTTTTTTTTTTGATGCAATGTAGATATTATTACTGGAAGCAAACTAGCGCGTCCACTAAAGTCAGTTTGGACATCCATCTGCTCAGGAACTGGCGCTCGGGAGCGCCGGAGAAAGGCTGGGCACTTACTTAATTCACATTATTACGCGCGGACTGGGTTTTGTCTGAATTGCGGAATCATGAAAACTCACCCATAGTCGGGGAAAACTTAAGAATAGCAGGACGTGGCTCTTTTCGTTCACCGTTCTTGCTTAGTGATCGGTCCTTCGACGTTCTTATCGACTAATGCCGGAAATCTCGTTGGCTGCGAAGCGTGATGGCTAGTTTAGTAAAACCTACTGTCTGGCCCTTTTCTTTACCTAACGCACCCTGTGGATCTCATCAAAGTGCCGGACGCCCTCATAATATTATTCCAATTATCAATATAATTTTATATTACACACTAAAAAAATGTATATGAGCTCACTTTCTCGGGGTGAACACGATACAACCGATCACAGCGAACAATAGAAGGGCCACAGCGAATAATGAAGTTCAAAATATAAAATAGATATGAAAAAAAAAATGAAAAAATTGCGATGTGCGCAAGGACAGTACACGGAATCATACGTAAAAGTATTTTTATTCTCATATGAGATAGACACTCAGCGTGTAAAATTCCATTGCAGTCACTGAACGAAGTGTGAACCTTCTAGATGCGGGTCTCGGTTGCTAATTGGGTCACCACAACATTTCCTTTTGTGCACAGTGACTGTGCGCATAAACTGAAACGTGTTTTGAACTGAGACACATATTCGATGTATTGAAATTGTGAAGTTTTTTTCCGAGGCTTCTTCGGGCTTGACCTGCTTTCGCACACTTCACGGTTCTGCGCCAAGCAAAATTACCCTACCTATAAAGCTATCTTGTGCGTCTCTCTTCCGCAAAGCACCATGGAGAGTCCAAATGCCGCAAACAACACAATAATGGCAGCTTGGCGAACGACAAGAAAGGAAATAGGATTCGACCTCAAAAGGATCCAGCTGCGCTGTGACATAAAGCATAGCGTTTCACGTGCTTACGTCATGCTAAATGTCACAGCGCAGACTTTTCTTTCTGTTTTGGCTTAAAGATATGGTTGAGTGTTTGGCAAAGCTCAGTAAAGGAAAAGAAGTGCTTGGCAGAGCTGGCAACGCACGCGGTGTCCGTGCGAAGGTGCGGGGTTGAACCCCGCAGGTTCAGTTATTTCTTTTTTTTCCCCGATATTTGTCTTTCGGGAAGTTTCAGTTCTTTCTTGGCTGCGATTGTGTGTTTTTGTTTTTTGGTGTAGAAACTTCGTAAACATAGCGCGCGCATAAATTTAGCGGCGGGGCACTGCTCTGGCGCGGTCGCTCATTCATCGTAGACACAAGATGCTCGTAACGTTCTCTTTAGATTTGTAGGCACAAGTTCGCCTGATCCAGTGTTCATTTTTTGTTTTATACTGGGTCACTATTCTCCACCCGTTAAAAACATTTCAAGCACGTCGTTGTTCGAATGTCTTTCTTACGTTGCAGTGAATTACTCCCAGAGGGGTGCTTGGCGGCCATTAGATTCTTTGGAATTTACACATTAAGCTTTATTAGCCCGAATTTTCAAAACCAAGATAGTAAAAAAAAAAAATAAAAAAATAAGTAAACTTATATGACTTTTGGTTGTTTATCAATATTTCCTCATTCCAATTAAGTTTTTGACGAAAGGCGATTTCGAGCTCCCAAACGTCAAGATTATCTTGCTAAAGCATGTAATCCCATGGGTACATCTCGCAACTGTTTTTTTTTAAGACTGCATATTAAATTAGTTGCTCAATAAAAACTGGCTACTAATTAATGAGCGCGTGGAAGCTGAAGGATCGGTGTGTTGGAGCGTTCATCGTCAGTTTTACTCCGCATGCCTCATAATCTTATCTAAAGATTTTTATCTCTCCTGCACCTGCAACCCTACAACCTGCTCATTATATCCGTTTGCTAAAGAAAAAAATATGAGGAGATCAACTGAATTTTAGCGAAATCTTACGTGTTTTGTTTTCAGTTTCATTGTAGTTTATTTCCCATCCAACTCACTTGGCCTAATTTTATACTGTTCCCGTTAGTCTTAATAATTATTCTACGCACTTATTAAATACACAGGCCTTACTACGGCGAATTCTCGCTCAAGCAATAACACTGGCCTTATTTCAATCATAATAAAAGATTTGCGTAATGGATTAAATCGATATGAAAAGATCCGTTAATGAAATTCCTTCTTTTTGTATCATGTGCTATGTTGAGCTTCTATGCTGTGCTGGGTATACTTTGATGTTATGGGTGTTATATGAAACTAGGAGAGATTAAAATGTTTTTTTTTTCATTCCGCCATTTATATACAAAAATAAAACACGAAGTGCTTTTTTTATTTTTTTTTACAGTTTGAAATATTAGCGTAGTCTTCGCGTAGTGAAGATAACTTACAATAAAATTAATTAACGAGTAATATTTTGATTATGCCGTTTTCACTACAAAGTCTCCTAATCTGGAATCTTTCACTTCATTTTATAGCAATTATAAGGACTACGTTAGTGATTTTTTTTTCAAGAATAGGAACTAATTAAGGTATTGCCAAGAGATTTCACACACCTCATATTTTACTAATCAAGAATATCAATCTCACATAAACAATATGAACACCCTTCCCCTCCATGAATATTAACGCCGCCTCTCTGTATTCCGTCTCTTTCGACGGGCAGACTTACGCATGGCTTAACCGTGAGATTATCCAGCTGCGCTTTCGATTAAAATTAACGATCGGCACTTGGGGATACTCTTATTTTCTGGGATAAAATGGGACAGGGGGATTTAAACGCCGCGGTGATAATTAACGACGTCGCTTCCTTACAGTCGCTAGACCTTGTAGCATTCCGGCCTGTGGTAGTTTTACGGGGGGGGGGGGGGGGGGGGGGGAAGGGTGTACACATCGGTGCGTCGTGAAAAATGCACGCGCATTATCTGCCTTGCAGCGCATGCGCGCCTGACCGATCACTATGGTCATAGCCTCCTCTATACCCATAAAGCTGACAGCTCAACGACGGAGCCATAGAGAGCCCGCTCGCAGATTTCGAGCGCGAGGATCTGGTAGCACAAAGTATTAAAGAGCAATTTTTCGGGAAACCTGGACGCCAGCGCACA